TGTCAGCCCATACCTGCTGTGGCCAGGGCTGAGCCACTGCTGCTGAGGTGGCCGTTACAGCGTCCCATCAGGGTAGTTTAGGGCTGGCTGATTTGTTTGTTTGATTTCAGTTTTCAGTAGCTGTAAAACCAGCACAAACAATGAAAGGAGGAGAAAAAAAACCAAAGAGCTCCAATACTTGCTTTCCATCTGCACATCATGCAGTTCTTTGCAGAAGCAAAGTCAAAAGTGAGGTTGCATTCACAATGCCTATTTTGTCATCGTAAGACGTACGGACAACACATTTAATTTAGAGAAACTATTTTTGGAGCTGAATGCCAATATAGGATGAGGGCCGCCCAATGCTGCAAAGGCAATGCCAAGAGGAGAGAACACAAAATCCTACATGAAGCCCATTACGCTACCGTGGTGTCTGCATTGCTCTCCGAGGAGCACTTGGGAAGAGGAGGGTCACCACTCCCAGAGCTGCTGCAGGCTGACACTTCTCACTCAGCGAGAACTGACAGGGCTGTCGTTAATTGGCAGGAGATCAAGTGACGAGCCTGCCTCCTTCTGAGAAAGGGCAACCAGTGCAGAGCTTTAGGGTCATCTCTAATAACACCCTTCTACTACTCTCCCTTTGCTTTCAGGGGTGATCAGAAAAGTAGCATTTGGATGGGAAAAAAAAAAGAGAGACTTTTGAGGGACTGATCAACCACATGAGATTTTGTTGAATCCTTATGACATACTTTTACCATTTCATTAGAAAATATTTTTTTTCCTTTTTTTCTTGAGCTCTAATCTTTTCAGGAGGCAGCATCAGTAGCCAGAACCACCACTGAAATTTCTGTATGGAAACCTCCTTGCAGAGAAAAGTCCCAGACATGAGCATTACTGAAACTTAAGGTATTGGCATAACAATTCCTATTTTTAATTCTGCAGTGGGTCACTTCTACCCACCACGTAAGCAAGACCAAGTGTTACTTCTGAGGATGTTACCCCAGGGATGCGATTTCTTCCTGTTGCTGATGGAACAGACAAGAGCTATCTTCCAAGTCATTACTATCTCTATAGTCAGTTATCAGAGAAAAACATAAAAAATATTTTGGTGCTTATATAAAATAGAACAGTATCAAACAAATGCTTAGAAATTAGTGGAAAGTAAAAATAACAAGCCTATCTTTGAAGTTCCTACAGTAATGTGAAACGTTATTCTACAGTTTTCTTTGGAAAAATATTTCCTGTGGTGTTACATCTATATGTGCAAGACGACTGTTTATGCAACTAGTTCCTAAGCTCTGTAAGTTTCCAGCTGAAAGATCAGAAAAAAAGGACAAATTAGAAAATGTCACCTCAGTTGGGACTTTTGATCACAGAAGACTCTTAGTATTGACAATAGTTCCTGGGAAAAGATGACCGAGCATCTGAAAGAGAGAGAAAAAAATGATATTGTCAGGGTCTTGCCTGGTGACTTGGTGGCTTGAGGAGAGTTTTGCAAAGATAGGAGGAAGCCAACAGTGCAGTGGGCTGTGAAGCTCCCCACCATTTATCTGCTTAGCACTTCCATTCTGGAGAAACTCTGAACTTTCGCTTCTTTCCCTGCTCTCCAGAAGGGGACGAGTAATCAGCTTTGGAAAACAACAAGATTCCAAGATCTGTCATAAGAGTATTTCTAACATTTTAATGACCTGAGAGCCAGACATTTTTTTGGTTTTGTTTAGTATTTCAGTAACATGCCTGGGATGTTTTGCTTTGCTTAACCTCAAAGGCGGTACAGCATAGCCAGACGCTTGCAATATGCAACGTCATGGACAGGCACCAAAAGAGTGCTGCATATACAATGGAAAAAATGCAGTAGTGACACTTATGCATCTATAGCTATATATACACACACATCTTGATGTTCAGGTAAGCACGTGCAGCCTGGCTTTTCCGGGCTGATGTGTTATTTACTCTTCTCCCAGCCTTGGAAGGTTTTTCCTGAAGCTTGTAACCTGCCCTGCTCTGACAGGGCTCGGGCTGGGGAGCTCACCCACCGCGAGCCTCTTCCGGCAGCCTCCAGCTCACCTCCCTTCCCAGCTGACATTAAGTAAACATCAGCTTTTGACCCCTAGCACATTACACTTGACCTTTGCACTCATTGCAAATATCTTCATAAATAAATGCTCGAGTAACAAAGGAAGGAGGAGACGGAAGAATTCAGGGGAAAAAATAACATATGCAAAACTTAATTGAGCTGTCTGGTCACTCCATCCTGATACAACAGTGATTGGGGAGGTTTGGTGATGGATGACATGTCATTCGCAAGAGCTCCGTTTGTAGTTGCCAGCACAGAAACAGGTCCTTAAAATTCCAGCAGCTGAAGCCCTGCCATCCGTCAGGGAGAGGAACACAGCCATCCACCCACCCACTTGGCCAGCGCAGGAGCCCAAACCATGAGCATAAGTCACAACCATTTTGTTTGTGCAAAACTCTTGGCCGTGAAGTAGCAGCCGGTGCCTGGCTTACTGCGTGTGGCACTCCTATTTGTACTGACATGTACATCTCTATACAGGGGCTCTCAAACTCCTGGTCTGCAGGGATTTTCCTACCTGGCATCAAACCGGTCAGAGGGGGAGATGCTGCTTGTTATGGCAGGATTATTCGGTCGCAGCAGTACAGTGCATTCCTACCTGCAAGAATGATTGATTCCGTAAAACAGCTTGGAAATGAAGTCAGTGTTGTTTAGGCTTCCATTTGTAGGCATTCAAATACTATTGTAATCCAATTCATCTTTTTTTTCCCCTTTCAACTGTCACCCATCACATAGGGCGCAAAGTGGAAATGGTTTTTGTCTGCCTTCGTTTGGATCTCGGCAGCATTAATTTTTAATTGAAAGCCACACTCTTGCACCAGGAAGCCAGATGGATTTGATTCAAAATTTACACAAACATCCTTTGACTGAGCTTCTAGTACTTTATATTAGTTTAGACTCAGATAAGTCATCTATACAATGCTCTCCCCACTTAGAATGTTTGGGGAACTTTGCAGACCCACCTCCCCCCCCAGCTCTTGGTTACTTGCTCTCATTCGCACACGACTCACACTGGCTAAACACTATTTATTTTGCTAGGAATTGGTCCGTGTTTCTTAGTCAGTACAAAAGCATGTGGCTTCTTTGCCTGAATTATAAATTCTCCACAAGTTACACCTGTGGCCAATAGGGCCTGAGGGATAGAGCAATATGAAAACAAGTCATTATTTGAGTAAACACAAGACGATGCCACGAGTATTTGACTCACCAGGTGGCAGAGAGGAACAGCGGCGTTATTCTGCTTTCCGCTGTTCCTTCATCAAGGCGGGCACCACCAGCCACTTTTCACATCACCCAACTGTCCTCCCCCATCCCCTATGGGTGAAGCGGTGGTTTAGGGAATGATGTAATCAGAGCAGGAATTTGGGCTCGCCAGCTTTTCCCCCACTGGTTTGATGCACCAGCTGGGGAACACCTGCAATTAACAGGACCAGCTTTTCGATACGGAGGACACAGAGCAGTTTGCAGAGGACAGTAAATCTCACCCTCCTGAATTAAACAGGGGAAACCAAGGTAGAGATGTGCAAGTCATGGCACGTGTATTGCTGCAGCTCAGAGTTATATCACTTAATCTTGATTTTTCTGGGCCAAAGGGGAGCTCCCCACTGAAGGGAGAGGCTGCAGAGCTGATCCCCAGTTCCCCTCCTGCAGCCAGCCCCTGGGCTGGCAGGATCCACTCGCTGACCTTTCCAGGAATGGGGCTGCATTTCTGAGCAAAGACTCACTCAGGATCAGCCCCCGTGACTCTGGATAAATGAAACACTTCGCCGTCTGGCATATCACTCCGTTTCCCACGAACGGCACAAATAGTCACCGCGGCATGTACAAACACAAGGAATCTATTATTGGCACTTCTCCTTGGCTCGCCGTCGTGACATCCAACCTGGAGGCAAGTGTTAATGCCCTTATAAGGCTCCTCGCACACATTTAAATGTGTTATCCTTTGGCCGATGATACAAACTGCTATCTCAGAAGCATACGGCATGGGGAGGTGGGAGATTTTCTTGGCTCTGTGGTGAGAAAGAGAAATTAAAAAGGAGCCTACAATGCTGAGTCACTGTGACAAATAACTTACTATGGAATACATTCAGGCTTTAGCAAGGAGGCAGCTGATAGTGAGTCAGTGACTGACTAGTGCCTCCTAGATTTTCCTCCTTGGGAAATATTCAATGTAATGGGATGGAGTGCCAGCAAAAAGTCGCTCTTGGTGTTACTGAGTCAATATCACTAATTATACACACAGTTAAAACTGTCAAGTTACATTATACATCGCATAATATGTGCATTTTGTTTGGTGTATATCATCCCCCCATTATAAATCCGTTCAGTATGTCCCATTAAAAACACTGCTTTACAGACACTGGAAATTTTGCCAGACTTCCAGTGTTTGGCTGCCTTAATTCAAACATCTCCCCTCTTTTGGTTGCTCAACTTTGCAGGCTTATGAATGTCCTATTTAGTGTTCTGGTTTAGCACTCCATAGCCCAATTTAAACCAAAACATATAGTTTTGTGCTAAAAAAACCCCTTCCAAGCGCAAAACAGGTGCAGTCTTGAGGCAGAAGGTAAAGAAGGTCACAATTCACCCAAAGATTTAGTACCAGTGAAGACAAATTTGCATGTGCTCAATCATGGCCAACTTTTTTTTGTGTGTGTGTGTGTATGTGTCTTTTTCCCCCCTCCGGTCTGACAGACCCATGCTCAGGCAGGGAAACAAGATCTCGCCCTGAGCAGCAGCTCACTCAGGACCATGGACCCAGAGGAGGGAAGCAAAAAACCAGGTCTGAACAAATTTGTTCTGGACCCTGGGCCACGTACCTGCCAGTGAAACAGCAGCAGCATCAAGAAACAAAGCCTCCCAACAGCTGAAAATCTGCAGCCGAACCCCTTTCCTGTTTGCATGACCCCCTTTCTGGTTACACTGCCTGGCACAGCTGCCAGGTGAGTTCTCAAATGTTCATGCAATCTCCTGCTGCCACATGATGGACACTGCTCTCTTTAGGAGACAGCTTGTTGTCTTGCTGAGAATAAATAATATGAAAAAAAGTTAAAAGGCAATTCTGTCACCCAAGAACCAAGTGTTGAAGCCTTTTCAGCCAGCCCATCCTCAGCCACAGCAGCAGGGGATCACGGGGCTGAGCAATGCGATACCTCCCGTGTTCCCACCAGGATGCTCACCCAGCTGATGGCCCTTTCATCTTTCCCTGTGCTTTTGTCTCCAGAGAGACCCAAGAGCATCAACCCTGAAATTCCTAAGATACCATGCTAACTGTTACATTATGAAGAAGATTATAACCACTCCTGAGCAGACCACAACCAGGTGGAAAGAATTTCCTATCTTCTTCTTCCACCTGCAGTCCAGGAGTACACATGAAGTTCAGCCTGGCAAGGGGAACATTTTCCCTCAACTAATTCCAGCTGGGACAATGCTGTCAGACCGCCCTTTGTGAGCACAAGTATTGAACAATCCACTGTTCTCTTGAACTGTTAACTAGCGAATGAATTATACTAATGCTGTTCCTGTCTAAAGACTGGCTGTTAAAGAAGTGTAATTAGTTATTCACATCTGTTGTCCAACTCTTATGAACTACAGGGGTCCCGTTGCTAGTGGATGGGGTCCATAAAGCTGGTCAAATATTTTTGCATGATGCTTTTGTTTGTTTCTTTTTTCCCCCCTAAAAAAAAAAAAAAAGCTTTTATTGAGAATTGGTGATATCATCAACAATTTCGCTGTCTTTTTTTAGCCCAGTGTATCTCTCTCCAACCCCTTGAGACAAAGGGCTTTGTTGTTTCCACCATGGCTCTACTAAATCACGTTACAAATCCCACTACTAAAGCAATTGGCATTCTCAACAGAAGGACAGAGGGGCAGCCAAGGGCTTTTCCAGGACAGGGAAGAGGCAAGTCCACAGGGCTGCAGGGAACTACCCGCTCCACCGATACCAGTGTTAGCTCATCTCTGGTTGTTGAAGGAGCTCTCATTGGCCCAGATGTGATGAAATGGTCTTAAAGTGGATGTGAGCATATAGTTATGATCAAGAGTCTTCTTTTAAGGAAGAATTGTCTTCTTTCTGTGAAAATCATACACAGACCCTGGTTTTAAGAGCAGCAAATTAATATAATTTTAAAGAAAAAAAATACTCTTGTTTTTCTTTGGTGCTCGTGAAGAGAGTCTCTCAGATACGACCTTTCCAAAATGCCTGTCAATGATCAGCTATAAAACAGATCTCAGTAATATTTTTCTAATGCAGAGTGAAGAGCAGCCAGCTTCCCATAGAGGAGGAGGAGGATTTTCTCAAACTAATTTTATTTCCTTATCTTTAGTCATCTGTTGAAAAGAAAACACTAAATATATTCCTCAGTCTACTCCTTCCAGTGATAGCTCGAAGGAGTAAAGAACCATATGCTCCTTCAGCTGATCTATACTGTCTCCATGACAATGCACATTTACAAAGTTTGCTTCTAACAACTTTGTACTATGAGCTCCAATTGCTTGTAATTAAGGGTACGAGGCAACCTTTCAGGAGGGAAGGGCTGCTCGTCATTGCGGCTGCATGGGTCAGGCTCCCCTTTCCACTCCTCCTGCAGAGGGATGGGGATGGGACGCCTTTCTGCACAGGGCTCTGGGTGAGACCGTTACACCCCTGCACAGAAACTGCCCAACCTTCGGCTGGTGTAAATCAGTTCAGCTTCAGCCGTGCGAGTGCAGCTCGGCCATCCAGCACCAGCCGAGGAGATAATACACCTGGTCCCTTCAAGTTCCATAATAGTTTTAATACATAAAACACCTTAAAGGGATTTTTTACTTATCAGAAAGTCTTAGATTTACACAGACTGAACTTCTTGTTAAAGGGCATTTTGCTCACACAATGTTTTAATTCAGTGAAACCAGATTTCCCAAAGGTTCTTCTATCTGGAGTCAAGCAGGGTCTTGAAGCCATGACTGCTCTGAGCAGGACAGGGGGGGAGCAGGAGCCAGGCGTGGGGGTCCTGAGTGAGGGCACCCACCCCAGCTGGGACACAGGCAAGGGAGGAGGTGGGAACTGGCTAGCGGGGAAGGGAAACAGCATGTTAGAAAACACAACGGTGTGATTTACAAACAAGATGGCTCAAGTACCAGTAGTAAAAGCAAAAAGTGGTAATTATAAGATGGGAAGGTGCCTTGCTTGTTGGTCTCAACAATGGAAAACTACAGGATTTGACAGCAGCACTTTTTAATGTCTTAAAAATGTAATTCTAGACATAGATAAAAGTTATACTTTTTTAAAAAAAAAACAAACAATTCCTTGTTCAATCATCCTCTCAGTGCTTAAGGCAGACTGAAGGTTGGAAAGTCCCATATTTAAGGCTTTCACTCCTCTCTGTGGGTCAGCTCAGGTCACCCCAGTTCATAGACTGGCATTTCTTCCCAGGCTCAGTGGGTACACCAGAAGGGCTGTCCCTAACCCGGGGGAAGGCGAGGGGTCCCATGCAGAAGTGACAGGTTGCACCCCTCCAAGAAGACAAGGCAGTGCCTGCCTGGCCATGCCGCTCCCTCTGCAGGTTGCCTGGAGGGGGGACACCTTGCACGGGCCAGGTGCTGTGAACTCCCTTTGGGGTCCCAGCACAACCTACCCAGGATCCAGACCCCGATGGGTCAGGCTGTGTCCTGAGCCCTATGGCACTGCAAACTCCCCCAACAGCGGTTTATTTAGCTTATTGACACTTACTGGTGTACCTGTGGTTTGCGTGCTGTGCGACATGCACAGCCATCTGCAAAGGGCAGGGGAGCAGCCCAGCAGAGCACTCAGGCTAGGGCACCACCAAAATTTAGGGCTTTTTTCCAAAATAGCATTTGGAGAAGCTAGGATCAAGAAGTCACTTCACAGCTCCAGGTAAATCATACCAGGGATAACCAGCCACTAAATACAGTTGCCTGCTTGGGCTTTTACCCTGTGCAAAACACTGGACAATATCTGTCCTGGGACCTGTTAGCATCCAGGAAAGAAGGCAGCAGCTACCACCCCTCCTGCCACCCAAGTGTGGCTGGGCAATGCCAGGGAGAGACCACATTCTCCCTGGGAGAGGAGATGACACACTGGTAGGTTTTACATATTAGCACTTTAGTTCTGTTGGATCTTTCTCAAAAAAAGTTAAGAAAGGGTCAAAAATGCTGGCAGGTGGGCAGCAGCACAAGAATGGGACAGATGCCATGTCTGTGGGCACAAACACGTGAATCATCTGTGACAGGGACCACAGCTCCTGGAGGTGCAGGTGACCAGCCACCCTGCCCGACGCAGGGGCTTGCCACCCACCATCAGAGGTGTAGCACACCTCTGCTTTATACTCCTTTAAATCCTTTACGTTCCTGTTTTTTCCAGGGTTTTGGGGTTTTTCCTTTATAAGAAAAGGCTTAATGCATATTTTTTTTTAAATCTTTTACATTTTTATGGTTTTTTTCTTCTGTCTTAAGAGGCTTTTTACTTCAACTACAAGAATAACTTTCATTTGAAAACACCATTTGCCAGAAAACGTTGACATATTCCTGTACTTAGAGAAGCCACATCATGTACTAAGCAGTATACAGAAGTTTGGATTTACTTCTAACCAACCGAGCCAGGACACCCAACTTATTGACTCCTTTAATGGAGGAAAAAAACCCAACTTATACTATGATAGAATAGCAGAAAACATTCAGGAACAGGCTGCGTCTGGACTACAGGCTGTCAATTGGCAGCCTCCACCTAAACAAGTGCAGAAAGACGTTATATTGTTATTTTCAGAGCCCATGTGTTTCACTATTCCTCAATCGGTACAATAGCTGTCAGCACTCCTGTTTTGAATTTCACACGTTTGCTTAATCAGAAACCAACAGAAATACACAACCAGTTGAAGTGGCGCATGAGACTCAAATTCTTTCGTTATCATGTCAAGGAGTGACCCGAGATATGGGTTGCAGATCAGGTTAACCCACATAATCAGTTTTAAATGGACCTATAATATGTATTTCAGCTCAATAACAAAAACTTCCACTGGCTAAGATGTGACTGTATTAAAAAAAAAGTATAAGAGAACAGTGATACCTTTATTTTAAAATAAACCAGACACATTTATTTTACATTGTCAGAATGAAACACTTAAAGATTATTTTTTTCCCTAGTTCACAACTCCATAAACTGACCCAGGCAGCAAAAGCCTTATGAATTTATCAGATTTTTTTTTTTTTTGCTAGACTAGCATTTTTCCCTTAGAACTCTATCATTAAATTTTTTCACCCAGCTGCAATGCTCACTGCTCATATATCCCAAGAGGGATTATTTAAACACAAACAGGACTCCCAAGAGCTGGCAAACACAGACTCCTGTTGAGCATCTCTGCTCCTCCCAGTCCTCACCCTCGCAGCAGCGAGGCTCAGGACGCTGCTCACAAGCTGTCTCAACATCCATTTGATGCCTGCAAATATATGCCAAGATCTAATTATGCTTGACAGTCCTCTAGAAATTCAGACTTCTTTTTCCCACCCTCCCCTGAAAGTGCCAGATTCCTCCTGAAGTCTATTTAGAGGGGACGAAGCAAAGGCTGTTCCAATTAGAGCTGAGTCTCCAGTTATCCCTTCACCCCATATACTGGAGCTACGACAAATTCTGCCAGGGAGGAGTCACATCTAGACTCGTCTACCAGCATTATGCAGTGAAAGGAGGTGTGCTGTGCACAAAGGAGTTGCTGCTGGGAAGAGACACAGCTCAGAGTCACAGCTTTCTCTTCAAGCCTCTGGAAACCTCATGGATTCAGCAAAATTTGTTTTCCCTGCTACAAAACACCCCTTTTTTGGGCAGTAAGAGCCAGCTCTGCTCGGGCTTTGCTAATCTCTCCATTTAGCAGGAAAGCACACGAGACCCGGTGTGCACAGCTTATTTGGTGCCTTCGAGAGCTCCCCGGTGAATGACAACGTAAAGGATTCAATGTGTGCGCCCGAGTGCCAAGCAAACCCTGCCGACTAAAGAGCTGGAGGGGAGGAAATGCTTTCCAGACACACAAGCCT